ATACACCACTCATCATACACCACTCATCATACACCACTCATCATACAACACTCGTCATACACCACTCATCAATACACCACTCATCATACACCACGCATCATACACCACTCATCAGACACCACTCATCAGACACCACTCATCATACACCACTCATCATACACCACTCATCATACACCACTCATCATGCACCACTCATCATGCACCACTCATCATACACCACTCATCAATACTCATCAGACACCACTCATCAGACACCACTTTTCATACACCACTCATCATCCAGCTGGCTCTAGTTTCAAGAGCTCTAGCTCCAGTTAGCATCATGTGCAGATTTTGTGGCAGGCGCAGCACTTTGTGAACGTCCATGTGCAGATTTCGTGGCAGGCACAACACTTTGCGAACCTCCATGTGCAGAGTTCGTGGCAGGCACAGCACTTTGTGAAGCTTGAGGTGCAGGTTTCGTGGCAGGCGAAATACAAAATACGTTTTCGAAAGATAGCGGACGCACGAAATGCTGCGTTTTTCAATAGAAAGGGTGGCTCCGAAGCTGGCCAGTCAAGCTTTGCGGAACGATGTGCGCGAGACGGTCTCGGGTCATTCTCGGTTCATGCTCGGATCATGGTCGGAATTGTCCCTCCATTGTGATTAGAGGTTTCAGTTGTTTCTTGAAGTGCAGATTTCGTGGCAGGCACAGCACTTTGTGAACCTCCATGTGCAGATTTCGTGGCAGGCACAGCACTTTGTGAACCTCCATGTGCAGATTTCGTGGCAGGCACAGCACTGTGTAAACCTCCATGTGCAGATTTCGTGGCAGGCACAGCACTGTGTGAACCTCCATGTGCAGATTTCGTGGCAGGCGCAGCACTTTGTGAACCTCCATGTGCAGATTGCGTGGCAGGCGAAGTACTTTGTGAACCTCCATGTGCAGAGTTCGTGGCAGGCACAGCACTTTGTGAAAGTCCACGCTTCTCCGAACCTCGACGGGGAAGCTCCGCGGAACGACGGTTGCGAGACGGTCTCGGGCCATGGTCGGATCATTCTCGGATCATGGGCGGAATCGTCCCTCCATTGTGATTAGAGTTTACACTTGTTTCTTGAAGTGCAGATTTCGTGGCAGGCACAGCACTTTGTGAACCTCCATGTGCAGATTTCGTGGCAGGCGAAGCACTTTGTGAACCTCCATGCGCAGATTGCGTGGCAGGCGCAGTACTTTGCGAACCTCCATGCGCAGAGTTCGTGGCAGGCACAGCACTTTGTGAACCTCCATGCTTCTCCGAACCTCGACGGGGAAGCTCCGCGGAACGACGGTTGCGAGACGGTCTCGGGTCATGGTCGGATCATTCTCGGATCATGGGCGGAATCGTCCCTCCATTGTGGTTAGAGTTTTCACTTGTTTCTTGAAGTGCAGATTTCGTGGCAGGTGGAGCACTTGGTGAGCCTGGCCTCCATGTGCAGAATTCGTGGCAGGTGCAGCACTTTGTGAACCTCGAGTAGTACAACTTTAGTACGCGGAGTATCTGGGGAGCTGGAAGCTGAGAACTGGCGACTTTCTAGTACAACTTTAGTACGCGGAGCAATCTGTGGAGCTGGAAGCTGGGAACTGGCGACTTTGTAGTACAAGCTTAGTACGCGGAGTACCTGGGGAGCTGGAAGATGAGAACTGGCGACTTTGTAGTACAACTTTAGTAGGCGGAGTAGCTGGGAAGCTGGAAGATGAGAACTGGCGACTTTGTAGTACAACTTTACCACGCGGCTGAGTCATCTCTATTCTGTCTTTTGCAAAATGCATGAACAACGTTTTTTTCCTGCGAGACAGTTGACGGTGGTTGCTTCGCTTTCGCTCCATTGGTCGGGTCCAACTTGTTTTGTCAAAGAACATCGCAGCTCGGCGAATCAGCTTGCCACATGCCCATTTCTTATAGGTTTATTCTTTTGGAAACTTCCGCCGCCGGCTTGCCCGGGAACTACTTGTACATTTTGCATGTTCAATATGACATTGACATGAATAAGACACTCGAAATAGCAACCCGCAGTGCCATTTAAACCTCCAAAGAACAAAACAGCACACTCTCTGAAAAGAAACCATGGAAGTGGAAAACCACCACCTGTTGGGTATTCAGATTTCATAGTATTTTCCATGATTTTGGGGAGTGTGAAATAAGAAGCTCAAAACGGTTAGACTTCGAGTGAGCAGGCGCAAGACCGCCAAACGCTTGCGTTTGGGCCACGCAAAAAAAAAAAGGACCTCTGCCACGACAAAAGCGCGGCAAGGCCCCAAGATCGGGCGACCAAGACAAGACCTATAGATGGTGACGATGGACTGTATGGAAACAGTTCCCAATACAAAATACATGGAATTGCCTGTACTACACCCCCCCAATAGTAAAACAGTCTGGTCTGGTCTATGTTGTTTTAGCACGCTTGCTATTTGTGTCCTAAATAGTGCGATTACGGCACTGTTCCGTTACGCTGTTTGGTGTTGGATGCATTGCGTTCTACGCCACTACGGATGATACGCCAGTCGATACCCTAAACCCTTGGTGTATCTGTGCATTCGTGCCTGCCACGTGTGCAGGGGCACGCACAAAGCAGGCGCCATTTCTATAGAAAGGGGATCTCCTTCTTTTGGGACTGTCCGGACGCCGGTTGGATTCCGGTGCCTGTCGCTCTTGGTCATGTCGTTCCAAGAGGTGAAGGCCTCTCCGGACATCACCTGCAGCACGCGCGCGCGCGGACCGGGGCGTCCACCCGTACTGGGCCGGTCCGACGCGGTTCGAGATTTGGGCTGAGAGCCGGTTCTATGACGAGCCTCCCTTTCAGACTCTCTCGGAATGTAGTACTGAGATGTACTGAGTGGGACGACGCCAACCCCCTGAACAACCGTCGCCATGGTTCTATTGGGCCAAGTCTAGCAAGTGGCAGGCGAACATTGTGTTCCCCGTCCCTAGAAATTATGACAGGATGATTGATGGAGCTATGTCTATGTTTATGTTGGCATACATTGGCTGGACTACATAAATGCATATGAGAAAATGGCAGGTCACCTTCCCAAGCCTTGCCCAACGCGAGTTGAAAGGCGGCAAAGCTCGACCACTCGGTTGATCGACCCCAGCGCCACCCGTGCGTCCCAGCCACCCCAGCCACCCCACCGCCACCGAGCTGCATCGCCCCCGGCTGGCACACCCGGTGGTAGCGCCACCCCAGGCCCATAGGCGAAGGAATCCTCCTGATGGCGCCCGAGCGACCGCCCAAGGAGCTGGGGGAGCTTGCAGCTGTGAGTCACCATGCCAGAATTCAAGCGAAGACTCCACCACAAAACGGAAGAGTGAGAATGTTCAACTACCCTCGTTTGGGCGGGGTGTTGTTTCGACCCAGGCCCATTTGCACACCATGAAGACCCACCAGTGCCCTGACCCAATGATATGTCCCACAGTGCCTGAGCTGCGGCCAGCGCAGCTTTTGCCGCACGTTGGGCTTCCTCCTTCTCCTGCTTCCTGGGCGTCCGCACAACCGCGGATCCCGGCTGTTTTGAGGCCGAAGGACCGGGAAGGTGCTCTCCGCTTCCAACCCGAGCCGCCCGAGCCGGGGACGGAGACGACACCGCGGCGCAAATCCCATGGACTGGACTGGGCTGGTGTCTTTCGTCGGGGTTTCACTGAAGGCGAGCTCCCCAACCAATAAGGCTCTTGACATCTCTTGAGATATCTGACATAAACATCCATGAAATCAACGAAATCACGCTATGCTGCATGCTTGACCAAAGGTCTGGGCCTAGGCTCCTTGGGGCCACTTGAGGGTGCATAGATCAATGAGTACCCTTCCCTGAGGCGCAGAATTCGTACCAAGCACTCCGGAAATCAACAAAGGCTGCTCTAAAAAGTCCGGCGTGTTCCAACCCCTTAGAATCGAAGAAGTGGGCCTAGTCAATCGAAGTTATATATATATATATCAATCGTTCCTCTTTGGGTCGACGTGTGAATGGTGGCTTGGCCGGCATCGCTGGGCCCCGTTGGGTCCAAGGCACTTTCTGGCCTTGGCTTCTTGTTGACTCTCTTTTCGAGCTTCTCGTCGCTCGATCTCGAGATCCACCTCGCCGGTCGCCCCGCCGAAAAACACGGGTCGGACCGGAGGGTCGGGGACGGCGTCGGCGCCGGTGCCGAGCCGGTGCCGAGCCACGGGCGGGGAACATGGAGCGTTTTTCAAAAGCAAATCGCAAGCGTCCCAGGTCGCATGCAACTCAGAACCTATATGAACCTATACTCTGAACCAAATGACCATACCCAACCCCAATTATTAAATTAGTGGAACTCTTGGTACACATCATCCACCTGTGATCAACCGGACCGCCTCCTTCTGCAGGTACTGAAATCTCAGGACCTGTCACGATGGATTGGATCCAAAGGAAAACACCATGGTGTCGAAGGGTGGCTCACGTGGTGGTCCAAGGACGTCTTGCAGCTGTTGGATGGGCGCCGATTGAAAAGAGCAAACACTAAAAAGAAACCTGCAACAACAATACAACAATACAAAAAATGAAAAAATGCCACGAACAGCACTACATGCTTAGTAGAAGAAGGTGGCGACTGGCATAGCCTAGGAAACATTTCAAATCATCTCCTGAACCCTGGGGTCCGCGTTTACATTCCCACGTTCGTGCAACTGTGCCCCCAATTGTTCAGGAATTTGCAATTCAGGAATGGTAGCATAGCATCACCACCACCCCAGACATCCCCAAGACTTCTACCTCGGTCAGGTACACGCTATGTGATTGACAATATCAAACACAAAATTAATCAACATAAGCCCCATGGTGCACTCTATAGATTGTTTGTGTGTTTGTTTGATTGTTTGATTTTGTTTGTTTGTTTGATTGTTTGTTTGTCTGTATTGGTTGGTTGGTTGGTTGGTTGGTTGGTTGGTTGGCTGGCTGGTTGGTTGGTTGGGTGGTTGGTTTGTTTTGGTTGGTTGGTTGGTTGGTTTTGGTTGGTTGGTTTTGGTTGGTTTTGGTTGGTTGGTTTTGGTTGGTTGGTTTTGGTTGGTTGGTTTTGGTTGGTTGGTTGGTTTTGGTTGGTTGGTTTTGGTTGGTTGGGTGTGGTTGGTTGGTTTTGGTTGGTTGGTTTTGGTTGGTTGGTTTTGGTTCGTTGGTTTTGGTTCGTTGGTTTTGGTTCGTTGG